TATATATTTTAAAATACTTTATTAAACATGCAGTAAGATTTGACGTACATTATATTTTAATCGGTATAAATTTTACAAAAATACTATATACTCTATAGTAAAATATATTACACTGCTTAATTCGTGAAGCTTAACGTCCCTCCCTTTTTTTTTGTTTTTATTGTTTAGAATGTTTTTTTACTGTATTTCAAAACTGCTCCAAAATTTCGGTCGGTGGGTCAAATTTTTTATTATTACTTTTTTTATATTCTACTGTAAAATAATAGACACATAGTCACATCTAAGGCTACATAGAATTAATTTACCATTTTGCATAACATCGAATCCTTTTTTTTTTTTGTTCTTTCGGCTCTATCGCTATTGGGTAATTCTGGGAAATTAAGGTATCAGGTGACACCAGATAATTTATATATAAAAAATAGAATAATTTGCACAATTGGTACTTTAAAAAAATGGGTTGGCAGGTTATGCAAAGGTTTTTTTTAAAAAGAATTACTTGTTTAAGTAAAAATTTTAACAATACCTTTTTAAAAAATTTATATCTATTAAATCTATATATTATATTATACTATACAGTTGATACTGTCTAAATGCATAGGATCTGTGGACAGATTTTATGCATTTGAGCAGTATATGCAATTAGACATACTATTAAAATTTTGTGAAATATAAAATTATCCAATTAATTTTATTTATTTAATCATATGACAAAATTAACCAATCAAAAAACCTTTATTATTTATCAATAAAAATGCATATTAACCTATCTTGTAGCTCTAATTAAAGCAGTAGAGAAGATATTTATGATTCTAATAGTAATCAAATTATTAAAATTAGCCCAGTAATAATCAAAAGAAGTTCTCTAATTATATAAAATCTCTTTGCAGATTTGCAGAGATTTTATATAATCAGAAAACTTCTTTTGCACATATCTCATAATATACTAAGCCAATTTTGATAATTTAATCACTATTAGAACCGTAAAGAGCTTCTCTACAACTTTTATTAGAATTGCAAGATAGATTAAGTTAATAAAAATTAAATTTGGAAATACTTTTTATTACTTTTCTAAATGCATATTTAATTATTTTTTATATATTATACAAATAAAGAAATTATGTACCGTAAAGTATGAAAAATAAGCACATACGTACGCTAAATAAGCACATTTATAATAAAAATTTGTGTTCTGTAAATAAGCACACTTATAGTGCTATATTAGTCGATGTGATGTATTTTTTGCTTATGTATAAAAAATATTTTAACAAATTGACCTGTCACATAGAATAATGATACAGCAATTAGGATCTTCAAATAAACTCTAATAAACTATAAATCAATTACGTTCTCTAAATCACGAGATTAGCATGTTATTCAACTATTAATTAAAAAAAGCGTGCTTATTTTTCATACTTTACGGTACTTTGTGAATAACATTCTCTTACCTGTCAATTAACTATTCTCCTTAATAACCAAACAATTATCATTAAATCCGAGTCTATAACTGACAAGAAAAATTCACTATGTTCTGTATAACTTATGCTATTCAGAGCTAATTTATCATGTACTGTATAAACATTACACTCCCAATCTTGGGCCACGGATAATCTATTACGTATCAAAGGTACGTATTTCCGATTTGGCTTTTTGTCATTTATTATTGCTCGATCATCTGACTTTATTCAAACAAACTGAATGATTTTATTTAACAAATCTGAAGAACATATGGGAAATAGGGGCTCGCTACCCTTATATACATAACCAAATTCTCAACTACAAAGATATAGATTTATCAAAACAGCAGGTGAAAAGGACACCACTAAAGCTCTGTGTGCCCATAGATAAAGGGTGACCCAAACAACAATTCACTAACCAAAATGCCTTCCTGTTGAGGGAAACCGTCAAATCTTATAGTAATAGCTGTAAAGAGAATCGGTATATATGCTCATATCAATATAAACGAGGGTTCATTCTTATTATGGTCCTTGCACTGCCACTAGCCGTGGAGCCAAATACAAAACTGGTCCTTGCACTACTACTATAGCCGTGGAGCCAAAAACAAACAACAGGTCCTTGCACTGCTAATGCAGCCGTGGAGCCTTATATAACAAAAACAACACTACTTGCTTGAAATTGGGCGGGTAAGGGAGGGCGATAGAGCCAGCCTTCACAAGGCGAGCATTAGCAAAAAGAAAGATAACCTTCTTCACTGATACAATTGGCCTTAAATACTTATCCCGTGGTTCATTCTTGGCTATAGCCATTATTCCTTACCCCTACAATAAAAATCATATGCAAATCCGAAATTACCTGTAAATACAAGTTACAAAATATTACAACAATAGTCAAAGAATAACCATAAAAGGATACATAAAAAACCTGGAATATAAGTCATCTGATCTCACAATAACGATCGCCCTGTCACTTCGTTGACAGGCTTTTCAACACTGTACTATATTAAAAAAACATATCGGTACAGTACTTTTCATAATAGTAAAAATGAGCGTAAAAATTTTTGACAAACTTTCTCAAGACTTTATACAGCTTCTTGAAAATGAATATGATTATAATGTAGTTATCGAAGTTGGTAAACAACCAAATATCAAACTCTTTAAGGCGCATTCTGCAATCTTGTATCAGCGTTCATTATACTTTCGTCAAAAATTAGCATATGCAATGTTATTGAAATTAAATTACCAAATCATTCTGCTGAAGTATTCGATATTATTATTAAGTAAATTATTAAACTAATACTATGTTGATTTAATTTTATTGCAAAATAGTAATACTTTCGCATCTTTTTATTTATACGATGTAGATATATCTACAGTGGCTTAATCCAATTGGAAAATTTTGAAACTTCCACTATATTTGACCTATTAATTACTATAAATGAATTTAAGCTTACGGAATTAGTTGAACATATTCAATCTCATCTTATTGATAATAGTGCATCTTGGCTTCGTTTAAAATTTTCTCGAATTTATCAAATAAGCTTCGATAATGAAAACTTTAAAACTTTACAACAATTTTGCAATGACATTCTTGTAAAGCACCCTAGTATGATTTTTAATTCCGATGAATTTGACACACTTCAGGAGAATGCTTTGATTGCTCTTTTAAAAAATGATAATTTGCAAATGGAAGAAGCAGAAATTTGGGATAAAGTTATTCAATGGGAAAAGCAAGAACTCCAGACTTACCATCTAACCTCGAAGAATGGACTAATAAGAATTTTAAGTCTTTAAAGGTTACACTTCAGCATTGCCTTCCTCATATTAGATATTTTCAAATTCCTAGTAAAGACGTGTTAAGGAAAATCCATCCTTATCAAAACATCCTTGAAAAAAATTTATATGCTGATATTCTAGCAAAGCATTTAGACCCAGCTATGCCTATTACTTCTCTAATTTTACCTCCTCGCAAAAAAGCAATAATGCATCTTCCTCCTCGAAAGACGTCTATTATTACACCATCTTCTTCTATAATCACATTAGAGCATGCAGCAGAAATTTCATCTTGGATTGACCGACGTTCAACAATTTATGATACTACAGAAATTTCATATGAATTTAAACTTTTACTTAAAGGTTCACAGGTGAAATATTTCATAGGTTATGTGATAATATATCTGGTACTGTAGTTGTTTTAAAGGTCAGTAATACGAATGAGATACTTGGTGGTTATAATCCTCTTATCTGGAAAGTTGTATTAACGAATATGTACCAAACCCCTGTATACTATATTCGAGGAATGTTGGGTTTTGGAAGACTGGGATCTGATTGTGAATTGAGTTCACAATGTCACGTGTGCACGTGGTGCCCGTGATGATCAGGGTAATAGATATTACGTAGATCAGTGATTTAATGCATGAAGTTTATTTGTAATTAGTATGTCATAAAAGCGTAGTTTATTATAGTTGCACATAAACTAGCATCAGAAATGTAGTCATCAATTATAGTTTGATGAAACCTATTTGTAGTCAATTAGAAATTCGGTATAAATAGGGAAAGGGATTCATTAGAGAAGAAGGTCCTTTCTTTCCGGAATAAAGAAAGCTTTTCCATAAACTCTCTTAGAAAGAAACAATAGGCATAACCTGTAAAGGTGCATGTGCCTGGCAAATCAACCATTGCAAAGTAAGTGCTTGATATTAGGTAAAACCAACCTAAAGCCCCGTAGTTAAGTATCCCCATGACAAGGAAGAACCTGGGCAAGATAAAGAACTCTTGCAGATAACTTATAATGTGTAGCACAAGCAGAACTTGACTTGTGCTAAATAAGATAAAAAAAGGATCTAAGTAAGTGAACAGAAGTCTCACTGTAATAACTTAGTTAAGTTCTTAGATTAAAGACCTGAGAGTGTAAAGTGGCAATTTGTGGAAAAGGAACATAAGAAAACAACAAAATTCATGAACTTGTTAAAGAACGTGTTAAGGTTTTGAAGAAAAAGTTGAAGGTTAAACTGTAGTAGTTTCTTGTGAAATATTTGCAAGTTAAGGAACAACATTAGTGAAGTGTGTAGATATGGTGAAACAACAAAGAATGTTGTTACCTGGAAAATGTCAAAGTAGAGGTGTGATGCATCTAATGTTTGAAGATCTTGAAAGCCATTTTACAATCATGGTATTGTTGAGATAATGGATTTTTTTTGGAACTTTGAAAGATATGCTAAATTAAAAAAGTAGAATAATAAAGTAAAACAAAATAGAGTTGTGTTGTATATATCAAAGAATCAAAGACTGTGGATACACAAGATTATTAAAATATGTGATACATGGTACAGTTTAAAGAAGGCAATGATAGAAGGTGTTGTTGAAATTGAGAAAAATATCAATAAGGTGTGGAGCATAAAGCAAAGAGACAATAAATTCATATTAATGTACACTTACCATTATGAGATGCTTGTAGCTCCAGTAAAAAGAATAATCAAGGATTATAAAGAAATATATTGGTATATATTTGGGTTGAAAGAATCATATTAATGGAAAGTTGAGATGATGTGTTCAATAATATATGAAGAAGCAAAGAATTTTGCATTGATAGTTGAAGCTGAAAATGATCAAAGATCAGCTGAGATGAAAAGTGTTACTGCAATGAAAAACCTTGATCGATATTATCAAAGTAAAAGTGGAGTCGTAAATAATAATGTTTTGGATGATGACTATAATATGATCTATAATGTAATGAATGCATATTTTGGTGATAATAAAAACCAGGAATGTGAAATAAATGAAGAATGTTATAACAAACCTAATGATATTGGGTATAGCAATAGTATAATCAACAAAGCGGAAACCATTGGTTAGATGACTTAGAATCTGAAAGTTGCTGATAATAGAAAATAAAGAAGACTTAGAAGGTGAAGTTGAAAAGGAGATGAACAGTGCTAATAATATGAATAAAGCTAGTAGATGCTATTATAAGAGTATTGAAGCCAAAATAAACAATGAAATCAAAATGGCTAAGCCCAAAGAGTTAATTGATGCAACTTGGAAAAGCAAAGTAGATAATAGTATTAGCGCATTGATATTTTGGTTATGAGTATTATACTTAACTCATACTTGAATCAAGTTGGTGGATGATCAAATAAAGTAAACAAAGATGTGAAGATCATCGAAAGTGGTACCAAAACCTTGGATATTGGTGATGTATAAAGTGATAAATTTCTGTAACCCGAAAGTGCAGATGACTATATAATGAGACATCAAATAGATATGATGAATAAGAACTTTGATAACATAGAATTGAAAGCGAAGATATATAATGAAATTGATGAGATAGATTCCTGTAAGGCTTTATATTAGTGTGAAGCAACAGTGAAATCAGATTTAGTGTTTGTGGAAAAAATGATATTGTTTATTGCAATATTGATGTTTGTTGTCATAATAGAACCTAATGTGAATAGTTATGCTGGTCTAGGTTGTAATCAAAAGGTGTGTGTAATTAATTATCATTTAGTTAAAAATATTAATTATAGAGGATATATAATTAATAGATTGGATTTACCTATACTAGATTTAGTACATTGTACTAGATTTAGTATGCAATCAAGTTAGATTAGGAGGCTTCTAGAAATTACATAATTTTGGAGTAGATAAGTGGGATCACCAAAATATCAGATTATAATTCTGGTCAAAATTTTATAATTTTAGCCAAAATTATAAAATTATATAATAATAAAATCATTAAACTTGAATAACTTTTGATCTACTAGGCCTATTTAGATAATTTAATTACCAAAATAATCCTCTCAATGAGAGGAGTTTAACAAGCCCAAAATAATTAAAATGCAATTGCAGGATCACAAAATAGATTTTTTTTTTTTTTTTTAATATTTAGGTGACCACTTAGGCCCCTGGCACTTTATTAGTTCAAACGGGTGGGCCGTCCGAAGACAGCTTACATATTACATCAGTATAACGAGAGTACAACTAGTCACACGTACAACTTTTGGTTGCCTATT